GAGCATGTGATGGTAGTGGTGTTAATAAGCTAAGTGGGCTGTGGCCATGAGGCACTTGTGGTCATGTTTCATTTTACAAGAAGGAACCTGCTGGCGGAAGGTCTTGCACAAGAGTGGGAGATGCTTGTGCCTGGCTCCTGTTTGCTTTTTAACTGGCATTTCAGGAGTGCAGTGCCTGGAGTGATGCAAACAGAAGCCACGAACAGAGACTTGGCATTTAACTTCTGTGGCAATTGAGTGAGCAGTAGTTGTCCCTAATGTTCAGCAAAACCTGAGCTTGGCTCCAGAGTTACAAGTTTTTGCTTTCTGTCTATATTTTTAATTTTTTTTTTTTAATTGAAGAAGTATTTGTTGTTGAGTTCTTTATTTGCATTTTTGTTTTACAGCCTTTTTGGTTCACTCCTTATGTTTATTCAGAAACATGAAAGTGGAGCTATGGAGGTTGATAGTTTTCCAAGAATAAAAAATTAAATGCATGGAATTAAGGTCTAAGTAATATGCCAGATTTTATGGAATTCATGGTTCTGGACTCTAAAAATAGAAACAGCAGAGGAACTCCAGAATGCTTTTAAAAGACTGCTTTTTGTAGACACCTTCCTCCATCTCAGTGGCAGGTGTTGTCACACCTGACTGGAAGGTTGGAAGAAACCTCTTGAGATCATTTGGTTTGACCATTCTCAGAATAAAAAGATTTTTTTCTTCTATTTGAATGGAATCCCTCATGTGACCCCATGGGAAACCCAGGGTGGAGCAGGCTCCTGTCAGGACCTGTGGACCTGTGGAAAGAAGAGTCCAAGCTGGAACAGGTTTGCCAGCAGGACTTGTGACCCCATGGGGGACCCACACCAGAGCAGTCTGTTCCTGAAGGACTGCACCCCATGGCAGGAAGGTGTTTTAAGATTTGTTTTTATTCCTCATTATTCTATCTGATTTGATTGGTAATAAATTAAAATAATTACCCCAAGTCAAGTCTGGTTTTCCTATGATGGTAACTGCTGAGTGATCTCTACCTGTCCTTACCTTGACCTGTGAGCCTTTCGTTATATTTCCTCTGCCCTGTCCTTCTGCAGAAGGGAGTGATAGAGTGGTTCACTGGGCACCTGGCATCCAACCAGGGTCAACCCACCATAATGTGAGGTTAAAAATTATCTAGTGGGAGAATTCTCAGGGAATAGATTTTTAAAAAAATGGAGGAAAAATGGAGTTCACAGAATCCGAATTGTATAGTTAAAATTTGATATTTCAATTCAAGTGCCATGTAATAAACTCTGATCTGTTCGCTGCAGCTTTCAAATGGCAGAAATCAGCTGTGACTTCTTTAAACCTTTCTTCCTCTCCTTGCAACAAATTCTATTTATTGAAATCAGGAATCTAGACTTTTTAAAGCCAAGCATTCTAGTTCCATATAGTAAAAAAACCTCATGGCATGAAGTATGAAATACCTAATGAAGGAAAATATGTGTGCCAATGGATTAAATATGCTTGTACAAAACTCTGATTATTCTGTAATGGACTATGAGGTGTATGTACGTTACATGACAAGAATGCAGCTTTCAGGTTGCTGAGGCAATAATCTTTTAAAAGATTGGAAAGCAGAATGCAGAGAAATAAAATTCACATTTTATAACTATTGAACTGATAGCATCGTGGATGGTTTATAAATAAGTTCCGCTATTTTACTCCTGGATTTTTACACAGAAGAATGGTGTAAAATAAATGCCAGTGAATTAGAGTAGCTGCAGCGTAACACTGATAGTACAGCTTTGCATTCCCAGACATTTCAGAAACTCAAAGGTGTGTTTTATAGAAAATAAATTCACAACAGTAAAGATTGATTGAAAATAGAGGAAAAATGACCCCATTTATAAATTTATAAGTTAATTCTGAAATCAAGGGAGTTATCCACTTAAACACATTTGCTTTTCTGCTTGAAGTAACATCTGGAAATTGGAGCCAAATCTTGGATTCTCCCATTCTATAATCTAAATTGCACTGTTTATTTAAATAAAATAAAAGATCCCTGAGTGAACCTAATCCCTTTTGGGATTTTGTTTGCTGTTTTTATTTTTCTTATGTTTTCTGTAGCTCATCAGCTGCCTGAGAAGAGTGACTTCAGAGGGAGTAGTATGACCACCAAATCAAATGTACTGACATTGTATAAGAGGAATAGAAAGGGAAATATGAGACCAAATATGTTGGGAAAAATTATTACTATGATGGAAAGATTTACAACTCCAGAGAACACATCATTTAAAATGCAAGATCTATAACAGAAGTTCCTTTGAATCAAGAGTCAGAATTTGTAATTTCTGAAATGGTGTATTTGTCCATGCTTCCCAGCAGGACGGAATTTTTATGGATTATGCAGTCTACAGTTACACAAGATGTCTAAGAGATGTTCCTCATGCAAGTGCTGTTTGTTCCCCGTTTGTACTGCATTGTCAGCAGTAGTAAAGCTGTGAGCGTTGAACAGCTGGCCTAGAGCAGAAAGTTGGTCACCCTTTTTTATATATTTCAGTTCTTGACAGAGTGCTTCTTGGGAATATTACACTTATCATCTCAGTTTCCCTTAAGGCAAGCCCAGAAGGCACTAACATTGTTTTCCTATTCTTCAGTCCTCTGCTGAATAAAGAATAAAATCAAGGATGAATATAAGAAAAGAATAACTGTGCTAAGATATTGTAATCTTTGCAAGTAGCTGGCATGTGAGGTAAAGAGCAGTTAAAATGCTTTAATAAGGACATGTTAAGAAAAGTCCTTTATGTAGCTAGTTTAAATATGAACATGTGTGCCCACATTAAGCACAGTATTACAGGTGTAGACTTAGTGGGGGGTTAATGGCTTTGTAAACCCAGACTAGGATTTGTCTCTGTTTTTCCAGCCACTTAGGCAGTTAAGCCTTTTCCTTGAGTGTATGTCCGTGAAATGTCCTCACTACATAAGGTATTAATTGTCTCCCCGAAGAAAGCACAGCAACATTTTCTTTTGTATGCCTGCAATCCTGCTGAGATTGCCTTCCCATACCTTGAAAAATGCTCTCTGCCTCGCTCTGTTAACTGAAAGTCAGATGTCTTTCAGCTTCATTGAATCAAGGGTAAATTGCAAGGGCTAACTGCTGAAAAACCCCAGCCGTGCATCCAGCAAACACACCACAGCGGCTATTGGTTTAGTAGATTTCAACTGAAATGTGAAAAATATGATAACATCAATGGCCTTTAACCACACATGGAATTATAGATCAAAACAGTTACCTAGAGCAGCACTAAAAAATGATGTACTGAAATAAATATGGGCCATCTGAGTTTCTAAAGCCTTGCTGCATGGAATACAGTAGCATTGGCACTGCTCAGTGGAAGCAAACAAGTTACTGAGAACACAGTCCTGATACTCCTTTCTCTGATCCTGTGAGATGCAGGGAAAAGAATATTTCCTCCAGGATGCAGTCTTAGAAATACTTTCTACTTTCTCAAAAAAACCATGTAAAAAAACAAACCCACAAAGACCTTCCAAACCCCCCACCTAACACTTAAATGTATTCCAATTTAAAGCATTAAAACTTGTCTGTGTTGTGAAAAGACTTTACCACTGCTTGTGACTGCTGGCATTTAATTCTCCCAGGCAGCTACCTTTTGGATTTTACATTTTAATCCTATTCACTGTCTGAATCGTATTTGTACTTCCCTGTTTCTTAGTTTTAACCCTGGAGAAAAAGACTGAATGTGGAGCATCTGTTATAAACAGTATTGCAATTTAAAATAAACTTAATAAATATCCTCTGTTGGAAATATTTTCAGTGATATTATCTGGTCTAATAACTTGATACTTAACTAAATCTTGTTTTGCTTATTACCTGTGACAATTTTACCTGATGTACCTTTAACATCATGTGTTTTGTGATCCTGGAAAATGACACAAAAGTGGGTGCTTTTCAGAAACATACATATATATCTTTAAAATTTATTTCTCATATAGACTGATTTTCGGGATAAATTAATCTCAGGCCATTCCAAACCATCAGCCCTTTTTCCTCTCGTTCTCTCATTTGCTGATGTACTCAGAGATGTCTCTGGGATATAGTCAGCTCCTACCTGCTACAGTTAATGACAGTTCCTCATGTAAGTCTGCTGTGAGGCTTTGGAATTGTTACCTGTGTCTCTCACTTTCTCTTGTCCTTTCCTCAGTTGGATTTCCATTTCTCTATCCATGCTATAAACTTTTTTTTTTTTAAACTTTTTTCTGTACATTTCAAAGAATTAAATGTGCACTCAGCCTAGGGATCCATCAAATAAAGGATTAGCAAGAGACTAGGTGATCAGTGCAGGCTAAGGAGCTCCATAGTTTTGTGCTGTCCTTGTAGAAGAGGGGTTTGATCTTGGTAATCTGCTCAGTGACGTGGGTTCGTAATAGTTATCGAGAACACTGGTGCAAAGAGGCAGCCGATCTCCTACGCTAAAGGATATAAATAAAATAGCGATGACCTGTAAATAGTGAATAGAAATATGTGAATGGAACGAATGGGAAGAATTTGTTATATTTTCTTTTTAAATTCATCAGGTCTGGAAGACTGTTTGCTTTCCCTAGCAGAAGAGAAAGTTGGCCTCAATGTTATGGCAGATGCAACAAAATTTCCAATCCTTGCCCCACCTGGCAAAATTTTACATAGCGCATTGCCTGTGAGTCATTTCCATATTGTTGGGCCAGTGCATTGGTGGTGTGTGCAGAGGGAGTTTTCCAATACAGTGCAGACTTATGCAGAGTGGCTTTGTAGATTGGAATAGAATCTGAGCATGTGCATTGACTGACCATAACATTAACAGGCCAGATGTCTATATAATAATAGACATCACGAACCACCACAACGATAGATGAGGTGAAAAGATAACTCTACCCAGATAGAGTATCATTGTCCACTCTAACTTCTTTTTATTAAGTTTGCCTCCTCTCCATTCTCTGATGTGCCTGTTATTTAGAATGAAGAACCTGCTAAAGTAGGACTCTTTGCCATGTCCTTTAAAGTTCCTTGTGGCCATTTATACACTTTGTAAGGATGCACTTTATACAGCTATCTGGTCACCAAGAGACAACGAGGAGAAGAGTGCTTCAGGTAAGTGGCATAACCAAGCAGACACTTCTGTTATGCTTTAGGGTATATATAGCCCTCAAAGTGGGATGTAACTGTCTGAAATGGGAGTGGCAATACTGTTTTTGTCAGGAATATGAGTATATATATGTATATGCATTCTTATATACCCCGCATGATTTATTACATTTAGTACTCTTAAGGAGCTTAATTTTTCAAGAGATTAGGAGGACTGGAGAAAGATGAAAGGAAAGTTTCTCTCTCTGACATCCCATCTTCAGCCAGTTCCCACAAGGAAAGTATCAGGTGATTTGTTGGCAGTTTATTAACATAAAGAGCTACCTTCCTTGTCCCATTCCTTGCAACTCCTGGGAGATATTGTAGGGGACTGAATGGACTTCCTGAGAGCATATCTGTAAAACATGTTAGAACCTTACTCTCTTGATTGTCACAAGTGATTATTATTCATTTCAGTAATGGTTATTTATAACATCCCTAGAAGGAAACAGATAGAATAAGCTGCTTTGTCTTGTTCTCATCTATGTGAGAACACCTCTCGCCTTTGTTCTCACCTCTCATTCAGCATTCTTATTTTTTCACAGGAGGAATTAGGGCATTTAGACCATGGTTAACAAATAATATTTCTAACCAAAGAACTAACATCCTAATCAGAATCAGTTGTGTACGTATTTCTGTCACTGTTTAGAGTTCCTGCTCTCTGAGGACACAACACTACTCAAGACCAAGGCACAGATCCAAGTAAGGTCCAGCCCAATTAACACTCTTTCTAGCATGATTTTGGCCCATGCCAGGTAACAGCTTTTCAGACTTCCTGGGCATAGTCTGGAGAGCAGTATAGGCCAGGGAACATTTCCATTTTGAAGGAGATCATCCTGTTTGGTGGAAAGAAAATTTGGCAGCACGGTTTCAAGTTGTGCTTTGCCACGTCTCTGTGACAGTAGTCTCCGCTGCAGGCAGCAGAGGTATGAGAGGTATGAGAACAGACCACAGCCCATGCAGTAAATAAACCCTGAGTTTTACACAAATGGGCCAAATCAGTCTTAGCTCTAGTGCTCAGAGGATTCTACTGTGCATCGTTCTGCAATATGACTCTCTCAGATGCAATCTGACAAAGGTGTGAGTGAAGCTTAATAACCTATTGAGCAGGAGGTGTTGGGAGATGGCTTTTTCAGCTGCCACCATCTGTGAGGATGGTGGGGCTCACTGGTTAGACACTGAGCAGAGACACTTGTCTTCTCAAGCCTGTCTTCCACCATGCAGCATAGACACAAAACAAGGTAAGGAAGTGGTGGTTAGTTCAGGCAAGCAGTACTTGAAACAACAGCATGGAAATAATTGGCTTAACCCTTCTGGATGGACCGAATATAGTAAAGATCTATTCACTGTCATTCACTAGCAGGCAGAAGAGTTGCAGATCAGCCTGTTACTGGGAGCACAACCATGTTTAGAGCTCAGTGGAACTAGAAGCTATTGATTTGACAACAGGCCAACAAAGAGAAAGGAAGGAACAATAAGGTGAACTTGAAAGAAAACAGCACTTGAGTGTGAAGAAGCAGTAACAATGCAGTAGAGGGGAGAAAGAAGCGAGAGACTTTTCTATCATACTCCTATTTCTTGCCCCAATTCTGCTTGCTAAAGTATGCATGAAAAAGTATTATCTTCTAATGATTGTTGCTTACTCCTAATTGAAATCTAATCCCTTTACAAATGCATCTGGACACATTTAATCAAACCATATCCTGTTGAGCAAATTGAGATTTAGGTTCATAGCTCGTTTCTAAACAAATTACACACAGTATGAGAGTCCAGGCACTGAATTAGGCATCTTGTAGCAAATGCTGCCAGGTCCTTCAGGTTAGCTGAGAAACTGGGTTGCTGCTGTTTGCAATTTCTAAAGCATAGCAGGATAGCTCATTTTCCAGGCTGCCTTGGATTTCCAGTTAGGCTGTCTCATGGGGATGTTTTGTCTTCTGCAATATTCTACTGATGGAGAGAGACAAGCTTAAATATGCTTCCTTTAAGACTTTTTTTTTGAGAACTGGCAGTCTTTTTCATCAAAATTGAAGGCAAGGCTGCTCAACTAGAACATCTTTTATTCTGCTGACCACTGTTTTTCAGACATGGAAATTGAAATGGAAATAAATATATTTGTAAGTATTCTGATAAATATACAGAATAGCTGCTCCAGATTTTGAGCAGTACAGAAGGAAGACACTTACAAAATTTAAGTTTAAGATTGCCTTCTGACTGCTTGCCTACTCTTCCGCTTCTTCCTGTCACAAACCCTCCTGAATACCAATACCTCCACCTCCAGACAAATACAATGTTTTTGCTTGAAAGTTACTCTATTATTCTTGTGTTTACAGTGTCATAATGTTAGACTCTAGGTGGCAGCATCTGGGAGTGAATATTAGGTGTTTTACTGAACTACTAATTTCAAACATGTCTCACTCGGTAACCATTGTAGATTAGTCTTCCTTAAAGCACTTATTTTTACTCTTCATGTTCTTTATTTTCATCCCATAAAACCTAGTAATGTACTTAATGTACAAGTGTTGAAAGAATTCATATCAGCATGTTAACAGAGTCTTCATGATAGTTCCTTTCTTTTCTGTATCTTGAGGCACAGATGGACAGCAGCATACAGTGCTGAGCCATTCCAGTCTGAAGCAGAATGGATAATGCTTGGGTAGAAAATATGCAGTTTTGCAGCTGTCATAGAAGGTAAGGTGTATCTCTGTGCCTTGGTTCTTCGTCAGCTGCTTATGCTGTAATAGTTGATGGACTATGAGGGTTATAAAAACCCAGGCTGGGGGCATATCTATTCAAGTATTTTTCAAAGCAAAAACTAATACTCAAGGGATTTTTGGATGTTTAAAGTGTCTGTTTAAGTGTACAGGAAGTGAAGGTGGGTTAGAGAATGTCTGTGGACTGTTTCTTGCACAATATAAGTCACAGTCATGTCCTGACATCAGATTTCTCCTCTAAGAAAGAACCTTAGGGAATATGTAAGAGATTGGGATTATTGCCTGCTCCACAAGAGAGAATAAGACGGGAACAACAATGTGCAGAGGGACAGAATTCATTTCAGCAGAAACATAAACCAGAGAAAATTAGGGAGGATGATTATTGTTGCAGTCTAGTGATGATCTGAGATACACAAAGCAACAAACCAAGCTAGGGATAGAGCTGAGCACAAACACACCTGCAGCATAATTCAGGCAAGGAGCTCAGCTGCAGCTCCTGGACATGGGTGCAGGTCAAAGCAATTAAGACCTATTGATACACTGAGGACCACGACAATTAATTGTCTAATTCAAACTGTTACACTGCTAAAACTTTAATTCAAATAAAAATACATTCTTAGCTTCATTTATATGTTATTTTCCCTTTTGCCCATAACAGGAGTTTGAGTGTAACATTGCCTCTTTTAATCCAGTTCTAATTATAGCCCTGTTGCCTCAGGGCAAGTACATGGACAAGCCTGTGCCCTGATACAGTATGAACATGACCACTCTCACTACCTGGGTAAATGTCTTTTGGGCTGTTTCCAGCGATACTGTATAGTGATTAAATCACATCTTTAGAGCGTTTGTACAGATACTGCCTTAGGCCTGGACAATTGGATCCCCGACTGCAATGAACCCAGCCCCAAAATAGCTTTCTTGTAATGATCTGTTGTTACAATGTTACACAGCACTACTGTCACGCAGGTGCAAAAAAGAAAAAGAGAAACAAATGAAAAGATAGGACACCGGTCTAAACCCATATCTGCATGTGTACATACATACATAGAGCCACCTAAATTAAAACAGAGGATGAAATTTACTTGCTAGATGTTCCAGAGAGAAGGGAGTGAGCTTGATATGTGAGCAAAATCAGTTAACCTTTGTTTACCCTCAGCTAAGACTCCTGACAACCTATCTCCACATCTATGTAAATAGAAAGTTACTCTCTGTAACCTATAAGAGATGAAATATAGCTGCTGCTGCAATTCATATTTATCCTTAAAAATGTTGTTTGTCTCCAGAGATATCTACACGTCTCATTAACACCAACCGGTAAGGACTTGAAAATGGAGCAGATACTTTTTTCCAGCTGCTAACATGTGTTCAGACTTTCCATTGTGATACTCCTGCTTCTGTGATTAGCTCATAGCTGGATATGCATAGATTTACAGACTAGAATCCTGTGCAGGTAGAACAACAAAATATACCATATACCTACGTTTGCCTCAGTGTTATGCTCTAAGCAATAAGCAAACAATCTGAAGAACTTTTCGATATCATTTAGCTGAAAACTATCACATTTTCTTGTTCTGTAATATTCTCATTGTAATAATTAGTGATATGCCCAGTGATACTGCGCAGTTTTATAGGATTTGTTTTGTACACAGAGCACAATGCATATACATTATGCTTTCCTTTGAATAAAACCAGCACTGAATATAAGGTTGTTAAGTATTTTGTATACACATATATTTAAATAATAATAAAAAGAGGTTAAATGGAAAGGTTAAAACCAGTAATTTCATATACACGATCTTATAATTTACTCAAAATATGGCTTTAAAGGTCTAAAGATGATAATACAGAATCTGAACGAGGATTTCAAGTAATGCTTGATGCAGAATGCAAAACACTGGTTTGAATTCTGACTTGATAAATGGGTGTTATGCTCAGAAAAGCAGAAGCAACATAGGTATTAACTGGGTCAGCTTCATGGAAAGTAGTCCAAAGGAGCAAACTAAATATGAGCTGTCACGGCAATACTATTAGTACTATTCCCCTAACCATTGCTGCCGTAACCATCCTTATTTATGTCAGAGCCTTTCAGAGAGGCTCCCTATTTCACTTACATTGATTTGCTCCTACCTAGACAAGAAAGTGAGGTAGGTTTTGATCAAGTCCCAGTATGAACGGACTAACCTGTTTGGTCATATTTAGATATGGATCCCTCCTGCTCTTAATGAGCTAAATTGAAAAACAGAATCTGAGCTCCCTCAAGTTATGAAAATTAGATTCTGCTTCTTACTGCAGAGAGCCTAAGGCATAAGCATCTCTCTGAGAAAAGAGGGTTTTATTAAAACGTCTCTAAACAGGCATGTTCAGGCTAGCACTGTTCAGTCATCCGCAATTTGTTTATGGAAGATTGTCCAAACACTCAGAAGCAACAAAATAGTTATATTTATGTTCTCTCAAATATAATTCATGTCATGTATCTAGATTTACAGTCCTGAAACAGTTGTTTTGATGCTTTTGCTGTAGTATACAGCAAACATAAACACATAGATACTGTGATGATGAGTGTAAGTGAAATCATACACTTAAATGATTATGTAGAATAAACAATTATACAGAATAATTATATAGATTTTATTTACGTCCTTGAAAGTTACTGAAAACACATTCAGTTCTTTCTGACCACTACTTATGGTTCTAAGGCTTTTCAGTTATTAGAGAAAACTCAGGAGCAGACTTGTGTGTAAGCATGCATATAATGCAACAGAGACTTCATAAAATAATATCACACAGAACAAGAACATGTAGGTATTTCAATGTCAAAATAATGCTAACAAGATTACCGTATTTGCTGCTGTATAATGGGGAAGAAGAAGGCCATTCCTTTACAAGACACCTTGTTACTTTCTCCTCCACTATTTTTGCACTTAGCCCGAGTGAATACATGCCTACTCTGCAATTTTGTGGCTAGCATAAGGACTCCTTATGGTACCAAATGGTACCATGCAAAGCCCATGAATCCACCATTACTCTGTCAGTTACTTAAGGCTAGTAAAAGTGGAAACATCTTACATGTTCAAACAAATTACTATATTTCTTTCAACACAAACCCTAATGCAAGGTGACCCTCAGAAACAAAGCTTGCCAGCCCAGTCATGACAAAAATTTCCTCATGTGAGAACTTCGCCTTCTTTTGGCAGTTCATTACCAGATCCCCGCAAGGCCAGTTCTGAGATTTTTCTTGCAGCTCTATCCTTAGGCAATAACTGTAGTTTGACCAAGGACAGGACTGGTATACCAACCAAAAAGAATCAATAGGCCTAAGAAAATAATTTTCACAGAAGTCTTTACTTAACTGTAAAAGATGTCTTCAAAGCATCATTTTATTATTTCTTTGTCTCACAACTGTAACAAAAGCCATAACACACCTACATCGCAGGTGAGTGTCACAAAAGACCAGATAGACTTTGTCTGTACTGAAAACTGTCCAAAAGAATACTTTTTTTGGAACTCACAGTTCCCTTTGACTGTCCCTTTCCAGGCTTAATCTTCCTGAAGTTCTGGACTAATTCTTTTCTTCAACAAACCTAATATTTACTGAGTACCCTAAGACTAGCCTGGACCATAGGAGAGGAAACCCTCACTATTCAGACATGCTTAGATAAATATGATGCAATTCTCCAGTTGTAGCATCAGCTCATACTTAACATTAGAGAGTACACTGTGCTACAACTACATATCATGCAGGCACATGAGATGAACGTACATGCACACTACAACTTCATCTCTGATTTCTCTTTTTCTCTAAACCTCCTCTGGCACTAACCTAAATGCTTGGCTGACGCATAAACCAAAAACAGTACTCCATGCAAAGATTCAGTGTTCTTCCAAGGAGAATATTAGTCTGCCCATGGGTTTCTTTGTCAGCTGCTGTCCAGATGGAATCAAACTTAGCTGTGGACTTTCAGTCAAAAATAACTTTAACCCAAATCCTGAAATGAACCTTAGGGGAAAAAAAAGCCAGTGAAGATGAAAAATTCCTAAGGAAACAATTATTTTTGCACCACTCACTTCCTTTTTCAAATCTAATGATTGAGAGAAAAAGCCTAGAGCTACAGCTTGAGTGGTGCAGAAGAAGGGCTGTGTTAAAAAAAAAATACCCTGTAGGCTGGATTTCCCCCTGGAGTAAATCCTTTTCTGGGTAAAATGAAGAAGGGAAGTGGCTAAACTTATTTTATGTTTGGGATTATACTTCAAAATAAAATTGAAGTTAGTAAAAAGAGAAACTCTAGGATAGCTGTGTTTACGACACTGAAAAATCCTCTAAGAAAAAGACTGCTGATACTTGAATTTTCTTCTCAAGAATGTGGACTCTCTGGTAGGAGTAGGAACCAGGGCAAGGGCAGTCTGCTTATCACTTGGGATTCCTAGGGATCACAAAAAAATAACCACGGAAATGCTGTTGAAGGGGAGCTTCAAAGAGACTACCACAAGAAAGATATCAGCTGCAGACAGAATTGTCCCCGGGAAAACTTTTTCATCTGGGCTGTGACATTGTCTTGACTAAGCTGCACCTCAAGAACAAAAGGTGGTCAAGACCAAATGTTTGGAGAAAACCACAGAGTGCAGCTGTGCCCAAGGAAGGGTTAGGCTGCAAAAAGAATTGTCCTGTTGGAATCTGTTCACCTGGACTCTGGCTCAGTGGGTTGTGATAGAATCCAGGCAAGACCTAACTTTATGGTTGTAGTTACAAAAGAAAGCCTCATGCTGTGGTTGGATTGATGCAGCAGGGATGCCAAAGGAGGTGTGGACCAGCAAAAGTGTTGTTCCAGAGCATTTGTTAATATGGGGCATCTTAGAAAAAGCCTTAGCTGGTGCTGGGATTTGGGGTGGGGAGGAGACAAACCTTAAAAATAAACCATCCAAGTTAAGAGGAATCTGATGCCAAGATTGATGCCATGACCCAGATGAACAAGTTCTCTA